CACACACACCAGAGACTCTCACAACACACACACACACCAGAGACTCTCACAACACACACACACAGAGACACTCACAACACACACACACACTCCAGAGACTCTCACAACACACACACACACCAGAGACTCTCACAACACACACACACACAGAGACTCTCACAACACACACACACACCAGACACACTCACAACACACACACACACCAGACACACTCACAACACACACACATCAGAGACACTCACAACACACACACAGACACTCACAACACACACATCAGAGACACTCACAACACACACACACACACCAGAGACTCTCACAACACACACACACCAGAGACACTCACAACACACACACACACCAGACACACTCACAACACACACACTCACAACACACACACATCAGAGACACTCACAACACACACACACACACACACCTGACACACACACACACCAGAGACACACACATACACACCAGAGACACTCACAACACACAAACACACACACACCTCTACATACATACACACCTCCACACAGAAACACACACACCTCCACACACACGCATACAAACACACACAAATGCATACAAACACACACACCTTCAAACACACACACACCTCCATAAACATACACCCCTCCACACACATGCACACAAACACACACCTCCGCATACTACACACCTCCACACACGCACACAAACACACACACACACACAAAAACACACACCTCTACATACATACACACCTCCACACACACGCACACAAACACACACACACACACAAACACACACCTCTACATACATACACACCTCCACACACATGCACACAAACACACACACACAAACACACACACAAACACACACCTCCGCATACTACACACCTCCACACACGCACACAAACACACACATACACACAAACACACACCTCTACATACATACACACCTCCACACACACGCACACAAACACACACACAAACACACATCTCCGCATACATACACAACTCCACACACGGACACAATCACACACACACAAACACACACCTCTGCATACATACACAACTCCACACACACTCACACAAACACACACATACCTCCACATACATACACACAAACACACACCTCCACATACATACACACGCACACACATTATAACATACATAACATACAGAAGAGGAGTGGAGGAAAAAGAGAGGAGAGGAGGAAGAGGAAGGGAAGAGAGGGAATGAGAGGAGGACACAGACAGAGACAGAGACAGTAGGAGCATGAGACAAACGGAGTGACATGTGAAGGAGCGCTGAGACACACACAAACGTTCTGATGGTTTCATATTTGTGCTGATGTGTTTGTGAAGCGCGCACACACACACACACACACACACACACACACACACACACACACACACCAAACACTGGATATTTTTACTGTTTGGCTCAAATGTGTGAGTGAAGGAAGATCTGGCAACCGACGACGATTCAACAACACTGCTCTTTTAGTTTGACAAGACACAGCCAAGAGACAGAAGAGGACAGGAGAGAGGGAGGAGAGGAGGAGAGAGGAGAGGGAGGAGAGGAAGATAGGGAGAGAGGAGAGGAGAGGAGGAGAGAAGAGAGGGAGAGGAGGAGAGGGGGAGAAGAGTGGAGGAGATGAGACAGGGAGGAGAGGAGGAGAGAGGGAGGAGACGGCCAAAAGAGACAGAAGAGGACAGGAGACAGGGAGGAGAGGAGAGAGGGAGGAGAGGAGACAGGGAGGAGAGGAGGAGAGAGGGAGGAGAGGAGACAGGAAGGAGGAGAGCAGAGAGGGAGGACAGGAGAGGAGAGAGGGAGGAGAGGAGACAGGAAGGAGAGGAGGAGAGAGGGAGGAGAGGAGACAGGAAGAAGGAGAGCAGAGAGGGAGGACAGGAGAGGAGAGAGGGAGGAGACAGCCAAAAGAGAGAGGGAGGAGATGAGGAGAGAGGAAGAAGAGGAGAGAGAGACGAGAGGAGGAGAGCAGAGAGGGAGGAGACAGCCAAAAGAGAGAGAGAAGAGAGGAGAGAAGGAGGAGAGGAGATGAGGGGTGATGAGAGTAAAGAGAGAGAGGGAGGAGAGGAGGAGAGAAGGAGAGAGGAGAGAGAAGGAGGAGACAGCCAAAATAGAGAGGGAGGAGAAGAGAGCCAAAAAAGAGAGATGGAGAGAGGCGAGGAGGAGGGAGGAGAGAGAGAGGGAGGAGAGGAGGAGAGAGAGGGAGGAGAGGAGGAGGAGAGAGAGAGAGAGAGAGAGAGAGAGAGAGGAGGCAGCCAAAAGAGAGAGAGATGGAGCGAGGAGAGGGAGGGAGGAGAGGAGACAGCCAAAAGAGAATGAAGATAGAGAAGAGGAGAGGAAATAAGAGGGAGACAGCCAAACGAGGGAAGCGAAGAGAGGATGAGATGGAGAGAAAGAGACAGGGAGCAGCCAAAAAAGAGAGGGAGAGGAGGAGAGAGGGAGCAGCCAAAAGAGAGAGAGCAGGCACTGAGCCACAGAGAGATGGAGATTAAAACTGAGCTCTTTAAAAACTGAAACTGAAACCAATAAAACCCAAGACAACAATGGAACTAAACCAGGACTAAACTAGAACTAAACCAGAACTAAACCAGGTCTAAACCAGGACTGAACCAGGACTACACCAGGACTAAACCAGGACTAAACCAGGACTACACCAGGACTAAACCAGGACTAAACCAGGACTACACCAGGACTACACCAGGACTAAACCAGGACTAAACCAGGACTAAACCAGGACAAAAGCAGGACCTAGTTTCGATCTCTTCATGTTGTGAAATGTCTGATGTTTGTGGGTGAGTTTAAAGTTCAGATGTTGATGGAGCAGAAGTTGTGTGTGTGTGTGTGTGTGTGTGTGTGTGTGTGTGTGTGTGTGTGTGTGTGTGTGTGTGTGTGTGTGTGTGTGTGTGTGTGTGTGTGTGTGGTTCTGACCGTGTGTGTGTGTTTGTGTGTGTGTAGTTCTGGCCGTGTGTGCGTGTGTGTGTGTGTGTGATTCTGACCGACGGTGTGTGTATGTGTTTGTGTGTGTGTGTAGTTCTGACAGTGTGTGTTAGGGTGTGTTTGTGTGTGTGTTTGTGTGTGTGTAGTTCTGGTCGTGTGTTGGGGTGTGTTTGTGTGTGTCTTTCTGTGTGTGTTTGTGTGTTGTGTGTGTGTGTTTGTGTGTGTGTGTGTAGTTCTGGCCATGTGTTTGTGTGTGTGTCAGTGTGTGTGCACTTGTGTGTGTGTGTGTGTGTGTGTGTGTGTGTGTTTGTGTGTGTTTGTGTATGTGTATGTGTGTGTGTTTGTGTGTAGTTCTGACCTTGTGTTTGTGTATGTGTGTGTGTAGTTCTGACCGTGTGTGTGTTTGTGTGTGTGTGTGTGTGTGTGTGTGTGTGTGTGTGTGTGTGTGTGTGTGTGTGTGTGTGTGTGTGTGTGTGTGTGTGCGTGCGTGTGTGTGTGTGTGTAGTTTTGACCTCTGACCCTGTGGATGGTTGTGTTATCATGTGAATTTTGAGTGAGTGGTCCAGTGGAGCTGACGTGGTCGGAAACATCACGACAACAAAAGCGACGCAGACTCAGACTGTTCCAAAAACCTTCACTCCAAGATCAAACGAGATCACACGAGATCACACGAGATCACACGAGATCACACGAGATCACACGAGATCACACACTCCGAGAAGAAACTACTGAAACACGAGTCACAGAAACGTCCAGGTCACACAAGAGTCTGAGCACAACACGACCAAAAACAAATCCATGAAAACACACACAATTACCAAACCAGAACAAAGACTAAACCAGGACTGAACCAGGACTGAACCAGGACTGAACCAGAACTAAACCAGGACTAAACAAAGACTACACCAGGACTAGACCAGGATAAAGACTAAACCAGAACTAAATCAGAACGAAGACTAAACCGGGACTAAACCAGGACTAAACCAAGACTAAACCAGGACAAAGACTAAACCAGGACTGAACCAGAACTGAACCAGGACTAAACCAGGATTAGACCAGGACTAGACTAGGACTGAACCAGGACTAAACCAGGACTGAACCAGGACTAAACCAAGGCTAAACCAAGACCAAGCCAGGTCTAATCCAGGACAAAGACTAAACCAGGGCTAAACCAGGACCAAAACGAGACTAAACCAAAACCAAGCCAGGACTAAATCAGAACTAAATCAAGACCAAGCTATGACTAAACCAGGACTAAAATAGGACGAAGACTAAACCAGGACTAAACCAGGACTAAACCAGGACTAAACCAGGAGTCTCAAACACTCGTTATTAGTGATAAATGTCACATTCTTGGTTGTCCTCAAAAAGCCTGTGAGGCCTCGAGAAGAACCAACATGAAAGCTGCTGGAGTGTGAGCAGAAGCAGAGTTTGGAGCCTCTGTTCTTCTCTGACCGCTGGAACACTCTTCATGTTCCACAACCATCTGGATGTTCTGAAAGTGCAGAGAGCACAGCCCAGACACGAGAGCTCTGTAATTGTGTTCCAGTCAATTCTGCCTTTTATTGTTGAAATCCTTTGTCCTCTGCTTTGGGGACACGCGGCTCCGCGGGAAATCACGGGATAAACAGGTCACACTCCCCCGAGCCGCACACACCACAACCCCCGACAAACACACACGTTCACATCTGAAATGAGCTGCAAGTTTGTCTCTGCACAAACGCACCACGACACAAGGGACACGGTTAAAGGGGACACGGTTTAAAGGGGAGATGTTTAGAGGGGAGATGTTTAGAGGGAGGGATGTGAGTCAAAATGACCGCGCAGGTTTTCGCTCTGGATTCCGTTAGATTCCGTTAGATTGGGAGCCTCACAGCAGCTCGTCTCTTTGTGACGCTCCGCGCGGACATTTTAAACCTTTGCAATAAAAATATGAATCTTAAATGTTGTTCCCATACGCTCGTGTCGCTCTGCCGCGTGTCTGCCGCTCTCGTATGCGGCAGAGCGCAGACACGCAGCGGGCAGGTGAGCGCGGTGCCGCGCGGTACCTACCGGAGCAGTTCCAGCCGGTGGGCGTCTGACAGTCGCTGAGGGAGGAGGGGAAGGCGCGCAGCTGCTCCACAGGTAACGCGGCGAGGAGCGACACAAGCGTCAACCGCAGCCAGCCGCCCGCGCCGCTCCAGCACCAGCCGCGCGGCAGAATCATGTCAGCGGCGACACGCGGCACAGGCAGGCGTCACAGGCGGCGGCGGGAGGCTCCGGAGGAATAACACACACACGCCGACGATCTCAGCTCTCCGTGGCCGCTCACAGCGCTCTCACACCGGGGCATCGTCCGCGCAGAAGAGCCGCCACCCCCATGCGCCAAAAGTTATCCATACGCGCTATCCGAATGCGCTGTTTTGTGACGCGGGCGATGCTGTAGGATCCCGGGGAGACGTGGAGGCACAAACACTGCGGGCACGCGGCAGAGGACGCGGTATTCCGTGGCGTAGTAATAAAATCCAATGTTCGAGGCGCGGAAACGGAGCGGTGCGACGCGGTAAAGGATCCTCCGTGCGTCCACCGCGGCGTCGCTCCCTCTGAGTCCGCGGAGAGAACAGCGCGCCGTGAC